CCTCCACATCCCACGTTGGAACATCTGGGCTCCATTCCTGGTTCTGCATCCCTATTCCAGCCTCCTGCAAATGCAGACTCTGAGAGGCAGCCGATGAGGGCTCAAGTGGTTGGCAGACCTAGATTGTGTTTCAGCTCCTGGCAGGGCTTGGCCCAGCCCCCACTGTTGTGGCCATCTGGGGAGTGAACCAGCGGATTCTGTGTCTCTACCACTCTCTGTAACTATGCCTTTCAAATGAATAAAAATAAAAATCTTTTTTAAAAAAAATCCTAGAAATAGGATTTTTAAAAAGAAAATGACTAACGGAACTTAGAAAGAGTTCCCACCCTCACTGCCGCCCACTGCTCCCCCGTGCACCTGCTGCTGGGGTCGGAGCCTCCTCTAGCCCACGATTCCTGAGTCCTGTGTCAGCTCCGCCCTCCTCTAAGATCGTCACTTCACAACACAGACGGCCCCTGCCTTAGGACGGCTTCACTCAAGACCTTTCGACTTGTCTGCGGGTTCAGCGGGGTATTACCTGCAATTTTTACGTATGGTATTTTCCGCCTGAAGTAGATTTCTCAGGACGGGACTCCACACATAAGCTAAGCAGCAGCTGTATTTTCGTGTTGGCTACTGTCATAACCAATCTCATTCTTCTATACAAAGACTTCTGATATCTGAATCCTGCTTCCGATCGGTCTCCACCAAATTCTCTTACAGCTTGTAAGCATTTTAAGTGGATGTACTTGGCTTTGCCTGGAGTGAATCCATTCAATCTGTGATTGCTAATGAATGTACCTTTCTTGACGATGTTTATTCCACTTGTCCCTTTTCTCTTATTTAACCACATCAGTGAGTCTCTGCAGTCTTGCCCCTGCCTTGCGTGGGAACATTCTGAAGGGTTACACAATTTATGCACGACACCGGCTTGGAACCGAAACAGATGTATTCTATCCAATTATGGAAATATCTGTCTCTTCTACTACACTCATATGAGCCCTTTTATCACAAAGTTTGCATCTCACCCCAAGCGCTTTTCCAGAAAATTTGTTTTTCTGCCTGTGAGTCATCATTCCGTGCTGCGGTGGGGGTGGGGTTGCTGTCCCCCGAATCCTGGGCTGGCTTCTAGGATCTAGGAATTCAAGGACACACACCTGAAATTGCTCCCTGCTTCCAGGGAGCCCTCCTTCTGCTCGGGGAGACTTTCAAGACTCAAATGAACCAAGAGCAAATTATAGGCCATTTGCCTGTAGATTATCCTTGCATTCTTGGATAGGCTGGGTTTCATTGATTGACGGTGGCCAGAAAGTTGTTGGGTTTTCCCAATACGTTACCAAGGAATGGGAAGGGGGATTTCACCAAACATCCTTGAAGGTGGCACTACGAAGGGGAAAAAAAAAAAAAAAAAGGCTAGAAAAGCCTTTCTGTGCCCTGATGAAGGGAGGGGCTCATTAAGCTGATAACGGAGATTTTGTTTTGTTTGTGGTGTTGCACTAGAAACACGGAAAACATCAGAACCAGAGAATAGCTAACTGGTTGTTGCCCAAAGCCTGGCTGGTGAACAAGGAGGCTGAGGAGTCGCAACTGGGAACTGATTGAAAGTGACAGAATGAGGAGTTCCCCTACCCCAGCTGGATGCAGAAAATCCCAGTGGCCTTCTCGGTGGAGACCCCAGCCATGCTCAGCATCTGGCTCCCAGCAGGGAGTGTCCTCGGCTGAGAGCCCGTCCTGATGTCCCCTTGGCTCCCCTCTGCTCCGCTCTCTGGCCATCTGCTCCAGTCTCTCTTTCCATTTAGCACAATGCGCACACACACCCTTGACGTCTGCTAGGTGACGGCACCACGCCCCGTGATCTGTTCACACCACTCTGTGCCCACATTGTCTGCAGTGGGCGTGGCCACAGCTTGTGCTTGACACATGTGTTCACCACAAATGCCATGCAAACAGAGCACCCGTGCGTTGCAGTTCCCGGTGTCTTTTCTTCCTTGGAGCCCCGAGACCGTCATGCAGAGTCCCGCCTACCATAGGATGGGAACATGGTTCAGACATGAGCTGGCTGGTGGAGACCCCTGGCTGGCCAGCCTGTTGCTGCGTGCTGTGAACCCATCCCAGACCAGCCAGTCCCAGCCGACTGCCAGTCATAGAAATTGGCCACACCCACCCCTCGCAAAAGTGACCTGTTGAACAGAGAGCGACAGCAGAGGTTGTGGCCTCCAGCTGCAAAGTGTGGGGCTGGTCTGTTGCACAGCACAAGCCGACTACTAGGATGTCAACTCTGAGTACTCAGAGGGTCAAGTTCACGCCCCATTTACTGAACGCAGGGTCCAGCCCAGCACTGGGCACACAGCGCCTCTCTGATGAAACGTAACCTTGATCTCAGAAGGCGAGACTCTGCCCGCGCCTGTCCCAGCCTTCTCTCTCTCCCCTGGACGTCTGCGGCTGTCTTCCCCATATGACTAGAGTATGGGAAAGCAGGGGCCCCCTTTAAGTCAGCTCAGGGACGTGCTAGGCCCTTGGCAGGACCCGTGGAGCAAGGGAAGCAGAAAGGCCTGGCTTCCGCTGCACCGCACAGCTTGGTGGAGTAGCTTTCATCATCTCTACCCCCCAACCCACCCACAGCCCCAGAGCTCCTGCAGTCTTCTCACGGCGTTACCACTGGGGGACAGGCTTCCCCCAAGAAGGAATGTTCTAGAAGGAATGGAGATGTGCATGGTGGGGGTCTGGAGGCACAGCCCTAGGAGTCAGGTGGAGTTGGGCATCTCCCACCAAACCTAGGCAGGTACTTGGGCGTGTGATGGACAGCTGTTGGCACTGGGCATTGTTCTAGAAAGTTCTCTGGCCAAGGAGAGAGCACTGGCTTTGGGGACTTAAGCCCTGCTCTGCTAAATGAGCTCTTCCCACGGGCCTAGCTTCTGCGGGCCGGAGGCCCTGCCCCACCAACCTGGCACCACAGCTCAAATGGGCCTGAGAAATAATCCGAAATCGCTTTCAGACCCAAGCCACCAGCCTCAACTCGTAAGCAGGCTGTGCGCCCCGGGCTACCGTTTCAGAAGGCAGTCGCGCTGTGGCTGTTCCATCTTCCTATGGAACCACACTGGACGGCAGAGTGACTTTGCCAAGAGATTCGGCGATGGGGCTCTCAGCACTGTGCAACCCCGAGGCCCAGCCCTTTGTTCTGCACATGGCCGTGGTGAGGAAGGCACAGGGAAAGGCAAGCCCCATTTCCATGGAGACGGTAGGACCCTGCCAAGGTGTGGAGCGGCACCTCCCACCCGGGACACCCGGATGTCAACAGAGCAAGGGGCTGGGGGTCCGTAGCGCTGGCGTGGGGAGGAGAGCGTGCAGGTAACCACAGAGAACTCAGAGCTGCTGCTCCAGGTAGAGCTGGCACAAAGCCAAGCACTTGTCCTAGTGCATCCCGGCTGCTACGACAAAACCCTGAGCTGCGCGGCTTCTGAGCAGAAGTCTCTCTCTTACAGTTCTGGAGGCAGGAACGTCCAAGGTCAGGGCAGCACGGGGGCCGCGGTCTGGGAAGACTTGCTCTTCTGGTGCCTTCTTGCTGTGGCTGCACACGGTGCACCGCGACCTCCCCACCCCCACCCCACCCCCGGCGGCCCCACCTCTTACTCCCGTCTCCCTGGGGTGTCAACACACCAGCTGTGCAGTTGCACAGGCATTCAGCTATGGCAGCACGAGTCGCCAAATGGATACAGTCCCCACCCTTAAGAAACCGTAGCCACAACGAGATTAAATCCATAAAGAGACGAGCAGGAGAGCCATCATGAAGCAAAGCGCAGAGCCCTGACGGGAAGAGGTTAATAAATAAATACAGCAAAATGAATCGCAGAAGATGTGCTGAGTGGAACGTGCACCTTAAGAGGAAGACACTTCCTCCTCGGGTAAACAACCGGGGAGAGCGCACGGGAAGAAAAGAAAACTCTGCAAATTACCATTCTCTTTCATGTTGCTCAACCCAGGGCTCCTTGCTTATAAAATTAAAAGAAATAAAATTAAACTGTAACCAGCTCCCTCGAGCTCCGGGAAAGTGCTCACGCGGCACAGAGAGGGAGGGCTGCAGCGAGCGGGGAGCGTCAGGCTCCTCCCACACTGCCTTGCGGCACTTCTGTCTCTACAGTTGGATGACCTGTTGCAGGGTCAGCAAGGACCCCCGACACCTCCCGAACACAGAGTGACCCTTTCGTGGGGGACCCGGGCACTGCCTCCAAGATGAGAGCAAAGCTCGCCTCCTTCTGTGGCCACATTCCCTCCCCCGACACACACAAAGCCCCAACAAGCATGCACCCTGCCCATTTGCTCTGTGTCAATGATACTGAACAGCCACTGGGCAGGCAGATGTCCCGGGCATGGTGTCTGCCCTTGGGGAAGTCGTGACCCAATTGGAGAGGAAAGCTCAGCCAGGGAACAACCAGAGAACCATTCGACGACAAACTGCACGTGTCACTCAGCCTGCACCCCGTGTCCTTGCCCTCCCTGTCTTTCTCCAGCTTGCTGGGTTTTGTTGTTTTGCTTTTTTTTGAGGGGCCTGTGTTTTCAAGGTGTTATGTGACTCTCAGAGGTGCGGGTTTCCAATCTGGGAAATCAAATCGTTGTAAAAACTGGAGATGACAACTAAACCCAGCACTTAACATGCAAGGTAACTTGGTAAGCAAATCGGTTGCATTTGAAAGTGATTTATTGCATACGAATGTTAGCTGTTCTACTTGGTGACTCCAACGTGACAACAAAAGCCAAGTGGAAATGGACCATTGTTGTATCTATACTCAACACCAAGTCCGGGGTACTGTTTGAGGGAGAAACCTTGGGTTTAACGGTTGTGCCATGAGGATGAACCTCTACAAGGTCAATAATTTCTCTTCCCTCTTCAACGGAGTGGGCGTCTGGCGGTGTTGGCTGTAGCAGGTCTAGAATGCAATGTTGTGGTCCTTCTCCACATCCTTCTCTCTCTCTCTCTCTCTCTCTCTGGAGGTTGTGATCTACTGGAAGATACAGACTAGGCAAAAGAGGGGGAAACTGTTTTTAGACGTGAGGATCTGGGGCCCACTCACTGCCAGGAGCTGAGGGACTCTTTTCCCGAGCGTCATCTATCTGTGTTCTCACCACCACTCTGCCCATCTGACTGCATACCCCGGCCCCTGCTCCTGCCTCCTCTGCCTTTTGCTCTATCAGGACTCCAGTGGATCGGATGACAGCCAGAAGCCATATTCTTCCAGCTATCTGGGCAATCCTTGGCCCAGTCACGTTGATGCTTGCAATTGTCACAAGTCCCAAACTCAGAATCTCTCTCCTAAGATGAGTTTCAGGAGTGTCAATTGCTCTATACAGAAAGAAATCACATTTGGGCTTCTGTGGTCTCCAGGTAACTGGCAGAAAGAGCTCTCTCTCTGCCCCCAGCAGCTTCAGTCTCTGTTCATCAAAGAACGGTGGGAGGCCCTGCAGGGTGAGCCTTGGGCATCCGCCTCCCCAACCTTGGCCCCCAATTTGGATGCCTCCTTCCCTCCTGAGTCAGAGGGACAATGATGATGACAACGGGTGCTTGGAGAGAGGCTATCCCAGGAGGTCCTGCACCCACGCCATCCTGCCGTCACATGCTGAACTCTTAACCTGGGCTCCTTCACCTGTGGTTCTTTGAGAGTAGGTTTGAGGTCCAAAACCATTCATGGGTTAAAACCCCCTGAGTAATTCTGCTGGCCAACTAGATTCAGACAGTAATAGAAGCTGAATTATATCCTGCTCTTCAAAAATATGTTGAGATCCCCAGTCCCAGGAGCTCGGAATGTGGACGTATTTGGAGATAAGGACTTTAGAGAAGTGATTACGTTAAAATGAGGTCATATGGGCAGGCTCTAATCCAATCCGACTGGTGTTCTTATGAGAAGAGAAAGGTAGGATACAGACCTGTGCAGAGGGAAGGCCAAGTGGGGACACAGCGAGAAAGCTGCTGCCTGCAAGCTAAGGGGAGACTCTGAAGGACCCGACCCTGCTGACACCTTGAATTTGTACTTCCAGACCCCAGCTCTGTGAAAAAATCAGTTTGTGCTGTGTAAGCCACCAATTACATAGTACTTTCTTATGGCAGCCCTGATGACCTGATGGAGATCTTCAACGCCAGCCCAGCTTCCTGTGCAGATGAACAAACTTGTGGATGAGAAGCACTTGCCCACGGCCTCTCGGCAGGTTACTAGTAGGGCTGAGGCTCAAAACCATGGGCACCAGGTGAGCATCTGGCCTGGCGGGTGAGCCACTGGTTAGGACACCCACATCCCACATCAAAGGACGTGCAATCAAGGCTCGGCTGTGACTCCTGACTCCAGCTTCCTGCCAATGCACAATCAGGCTCATGTGGTCGGGTTCCTGATATCCACGTGGAAGACTCCAACTGAGTTCCCAGCCCCCAGATGCAGATACCCAGATGATGCAGGCATTTGGGGAGTGAACCAACAGATAAGAACACTCTCTCCCTCAGTCTGTACCTCAACCTCTCTCTCTCTCCCTCCCACCAAATCCCTATTCCTATCCCTCTCTCTACCATATTCATCTCATTCTCCATCTCTCTCACCCTATCCCTATCGCTGTCATCTCCATCTCATTCTGTACCTCCCTCACTCTCACCCTATCCATATCTTTGTCTCTACCCTCTCTCTCTCATTCTCCATCATCTCCTTCTCATTCTCCATCTTCTTCCTACCCCTCTCTCTCTCCTCACTCCTTTCTCTCTCTCTCTCTCTCAAATCTGTACTAACCATCCAGAGCTCACTCCAAAACCATGCCTTGGCTCTAAGGACCAGAACACTGGCCCAGCCCCAGCCCAGGAAGGCGTCCATGGAGACTGGTGGTATCATGCTTTCAGCTGACTCCTCCAAGCTTCCATGGAATGGCCTGGATGAGGCTCCCATACTCTGTCCTGATGGGATCATCTGTGCCTCGATGACCATCATCCGGCAGGTCCCTTTAGTGCTCGACAGAGTGCTGGATTCTGAGTGCGAGCGTTTCTGTAGACAGCCGATTGAGTGCCCTGAAACACCAGGGGGAAGGGAGAAGGCGACAGACGACCTTGTCTTCTCTTGCAGATTCCTCAAAGGAGTGTGGAGCCGCCGACTCCCCCCCAAAGGCTCCGCCTGCTCTTCCATTCCTTAAGAATGGAGTTCTTCAGCCAGAGGACACATTCCCGGGCCTGTCACTAATTTTCCATGTGATCTTGAGCCATCATTTCCATTATCCAGGCACTCATTCCCTCATGTGTAAAATGGAAGAAAAGTAAGTGTCTGCCTTACCTACCTCATAGACATACAGCGCATATCAAATGAGATACAGTACAAGACGGCACTTGGGAAAGTATAAAAACGCTATTCAAATATGAAATGTGACAAATCCTTCATCCTCGCAAAGTATATGTGGATCAGAATGAATCTGTCTGGAGGAGGCAGCAGCAATCATAATAGAAATATGTGACCTGATTGATAGGCAGCCCACACGGGCGGCTTTCAAATGTAGGGAGAGAATTCGAGTGCATAATGAAAAGGTGAGCACTGCAAACTGGAGATGAGGGCTGGACACAGCCCCTCTGGGAATGACCTGTGTCCTTTTGCCTAAAGCCATGAAGGAAACAACGCCAGCCTTGTCTTCTATACAAAATCATTGCAAAGATCAATTGAGATTATATACATGTAACAACGCGTAGCTCTATGCAAATAAATAACGTGAAAGCTCTTCAAAAAGTTTATGGAAAAATACGGAATTCAGAGATGAGTTTATTGTGCAAACAGTTTTGGGAATCCATACGTCATCCTTTTTCATAGTAAGAGTTTTTGTGAACCTGTTGAAGATCCTTTGTGTGTCTGCAGCTAAAAGGATGATGTGTAGAATAGCCTGGCTATAAACTAAGTGGGACAAGATAGAGGGCAGGGGCGAAATTGAAGGTCAGAAACATTTTAGTAAGCCTAGCCAGAATGGAGTCTGACTAGGAAATCAGAGAGTGTCAGCAAGCATCTCAAAGCAGGAAATGATACGGGTAAATAGAAGTATCCCGACCGGGAGAGAAAATGGAAATTCTGAGAAGAGGCTGCCAGGGAAGGTGGTGCGAATTTAAGAATTACAATATCAGGAGGTTGAATGGAGCACAGCTAAACTTCCTACAGGTGTAACCCCTGAAGAAAAGAGGCAGCAAGGACCGTAGCTCCTCGGGAAGCAAGAAATAGGCCAACTGCACGTGTGGAAAAGAGCGATAGCTTTGACTGTGAAGAGGAGCTAAAAACCCTGCAGTGAGAGGGAAGTGGAAAGTTGGATCCATGCCTGTGCCTTAAGCAGTGCCGAGCTGAACTGTGCAATGAGACCGTGTGTTTGCATTTAGCCACTGACCCCTACGCTTCACCTCTGCACGCTCTGCGTATTCTTGTTTCATGGTTTTTACACCCAGATGTTGAACATGGAGCACCCTGAAAATACCGACAGGGAGAAAGTTAGAGGAACCGCATTGCGCGTGGTGAATATCAGCACAACTCAGAAAAGTGTAAAAGTAGGAATCTTCAAGTCTCATAAATAGGGACACGGAAGCTCAGAGGTCAGTATCTTGATAAAGGACAGTATTGGAACCCAAGATTAGGTTCAGCTTCGATGAGCGGAGACCTGGAAAATGATGGCGTCTCGTGATAAAGATTTGTTTCTCTTTGAAGTAGGAGAAATCAGAAGTGGGAGAGTCAAGAGGTGCAATGGCAGCTGTGCAGTTATCAGAGGCAGAGCGCCCCCTAGCTCTCAGCTCCACCTCCTCTAACATGGGATCCTCACTTCCGTGTTCCTGAAATGCAGCCTGAGCTCCAGTCATCACCTCCACAATCCAAAGAGCCAAATGGGGAAAGAGAAGAAGAGACCTTTGACGTCTTGGGAACTTGTTTTACAGCTCATTGGCTAGAAGGTAACCACATGGTCTTAGTCACAAGGCATTCTGGGAAATGTAGTTTTTTCCTTGGGAAGCAGCACATTCGATTAAAAAGCAGGTTCTGTTGCTATGCCAGGAGAAGCATCTGCCACACCCTAGCTTTCTAATTCCAAAGTCTGTGCTCTTTGCCAGGAGGAGAAAAGTCTTTAAAACTATCTGGTTGAGGGTTCCGCACCTGCAGTGTCAGCCCAGGGTGGCCCTGCTGGTGCACAGGAAAAGAAAAGCAACACCTTTGGATTGCTGTTGTGCTCTTATTTAGGGGGAAATCAAGCTCAATGGAACACTGAAGAAAACCTTAGGAAGTTGCCCTGTGCTTACTCAACCAGGAGATGACTTTTATGTATTGTCATGAAAATTACAGACAGAAACGCTTGCAATATAAGTGTAATTTGGACGGAGAAATGCCAAGTGTGGAAAAAGAATTGGCTGAAATCGGAGTTAAATTTGGTTCCATCCGCCGGCCTTTGATCTTGCAGAGCTGAGCAAAAGGGAAACAGAGCAGAGACAAATTGTACAGCTTTGTGAACACAGCTCTTGACGCAGTTTGCAATTGGGAATGATCGCCGAGAAATACTATGATTGTAACCAAGCGTCTTACAATCCCATACAGAGCGGCGTTCTGAAGCCAGGCTCAGCAAGCCAAGCGCCCATCATGTACCCTCACCGGGCCATTTAGTCAGACAGAACCACGCACTGCAGGCAGCTCTGGACGGGCTGTGCCCTTCTCCCGCCCAGAGCCCACAGCCTCCCTCTGCATGGTTCCCAAAACTTGTCTTGGTCCAGTTCTGCTCTGCACTAAAGGCAGCCTAAATGACAAGCTCTCTCCAGGCTGCAAATACTGAGGGAGGTCCCAATCCTACCTCTATCCCAAACTGAGGGTCTCTGTGTAAGCTTCTTTCCCTCTATGTCCTCCCATAGACTATGAGCAGGTAGACCAGTTAGCCAGAAATCCTTACAGTGACAAATTCCAAAAACAAGAATAAGTCCACAGTGTGAGTTCAGATGAATAGAGAAAGTGACGTGGACAGAAGCAGGAAGTGACTAAATCATTCCAGTTCTTTCATAAATGCCCATGCTAAGTAGGTGAATTCCAAGACTTTCCTCCAGCCCCACAATCAACCCCCCAGGAGCAGCCAGGCATCAAATGTCATCTAACTCAGCCCCTCCGGAGCCCTGGTGAGAAGCTTCTGCTGGTTCCAGGTTGCCAAGGGTATCACGACAGGACCTGCTGTCCTGAGCCCAGGGTAGCCTGGACACGTGATCCCGACAGACTGGAGTTCAAGTCCCCGATGGGCACTTGCTACGTCTGTGCTCCTTGGGAAAGTTTCCCAAGCTTTGGATCTGCTCGTTTCCTGATCTCTGAAGGGCAGTTCGCACGAGTAACCTCAGAACTGTTAGCATGGGTACCACACTGCAGGAGAGGCCCCCAGCACAGGGTCTGGCCACACCAGGCATTCTGGAAGGATGCACTGTTTTTGGAAGCTTTATTTATAACACCTGAAACGAATCTTGCTCCCTGGAAACTGGACGTTCATGAGCCTGCTTCAAGCCTTCTGGGTCTCGACCCTCAGGATGGTTCTCATTCACGAAAATGTTCTGTCCCAAATCGGGCAGGATGGGGTCCACTGATCCATCAGATAATTTAACGGCCAGAGCAAAGGCTCTGTGTGTGTGTGTGTGTGTGTGTGTGAATGAGAGAGGAGAAGAATGGAAAGCCAGTTCTCTAGACAAAGAAGGAAACGACTTTGCAGACACAGTATGACTTCTCACCCATATCTTCTTGGGATGTCCCTCTTCCCTCCGCCCGGAAGAAGCCGCTACCTGCACGCCTCACCTGGACGCGTCACATAAAGCTCATCTTAATCGATGGGAGAGACACGGTTGAAAATCTGGAGATTTCACCCGGAGCTGACAGCCTGGTAATTTATATTCTGCACAGCGTAAGTGAAGAGCTTGTTATGCAAACACAGGCCACTGATTTGACAAATCTCCTGGAAACAGAATTAATGTCTGTATTCCGTGCAAAGATGTAATTTATTTTAATATTTTAAAGAGATAATATATATCTCTCAATCTGTATGCATTCGGGGAGTGTGATGTATATACACAGAGAGATATGTATATTTAAACAGAGTCAGGCGAGGGGGCTGGGCCGCCAGGCTGCAGCAGCGAGAGCTCCTAAAACGGCGGTGGGAATGCACAGCTGATTGCAAACAGCCACCTGCCTCCTGTGTGCGTCTTCTTCCATTGCTGATGATAATATAAATGTTGCTTCTTTGCAACAGAAGAAAACGCTTTATGTATGGTGCCAGAGCCAGGATCGCACTCCACGGTGATGGAGGTTAGTCGAGGGAGAGCGAGTTACACCCAACTGCAGAAGAAGTTTTAATTGGATGGAAACCTCCTGTGGGTATCTCCCGGCCGTGCTGTGTTCATTTCTACAAGGGGAAGTTTTTCTTTACTTTTCTTGTTGGTTGGTTTGTTTGTTCCGGGATAAAGCAGCGCTGGCTTGTTGGAAAGCATTGACTCTGAAGCACAATCCAGAGATCCATGCCGAAGCGCGAGGCCGCCAGGGCTTGGGGAGCAATGGCAGACAGCAGAGAGCTGTGTGGTGATGGCCGCTGGAGAAAACAGACATACGGCTCTTCTTTGCAGGGATGGGGTGCTCGGAGTCCCAGGTGCGCCTTACCAAAGCTTTTCACAGGTATTTGATTTTGGAAGGAGCCCTTAACACACAGTTCTTTCCCAATGGCAAAAAGAGAAAGCAAACTGGCTTCTCACCCAGTCCTGATCGCCCCCTTATTCTCACCACCCACTTGGCATTTTTCAAAAGCGAGCCTTGGAGAATTCAGACCCCTCTACCCCACTGCCCCAACTCCTCCCAGCCATGGAACCCCACCGTGGAGACACCTCATCAAACCTGCCACCTCGCTTGTCGATGTTTCGTTAAGGGGTCTAAACAAGAAATCAATGCTCCCGGCCCAGGGGATGCGTTGTGCTGTTTTCTCCATTAATGCCATGTCAAGAGATGTCTCCGGGAAGGCGGGCTACTTCAGGGAGCGTCAGCTCACATTTGGACGGGCCTCTGACAGCACTCAGGCAGGTCGGCTGCGGGGACATTCCTGAGCAGAGGACGGGCTGGGGTTGCACAGTGAGGTTCCCGCGCTTTGTCCCACTCTGCTCCCAGAAGATGCCACAGGAAGGGGTGACGGTGGGGGAGGGGCCTGGCCCCCCAGTGGTGGGAGTAGATGGTGGGCTTTCCCTAGAGAGACCCCTCCATACCAGGGGTACGCTGGGTCACATTCATTTCTCCCCCCGCCCCACCACCAAGCCATCCAAGTGTGTTGGGGGAAGCAGGCTGGCTGCTACTGCCCCTGAGGTGCCCTGTGGTGGCCGAGCCTCAGGAGCACCCTTGGGAGTGCTGATCTCCCCACCCCACCCCCTGCCTCACGCCCCGCAGGAGGACCCCTGACCACTGCCCACTCCCTGGCTGCTCAGCAGGAGCTCCTACACTGCCTAGCCATGTAGTGGCCAGAGTCCAGGACCCAGCTTGGGAGTAATCTGACCCTGAGCAGGGTGCCTCACCAGGGTGAACCAGAGGATATGGGCTCCAGCTCCTCACCTGCCGGCTGCTGAGCCCTTCAGAAAGTCCGTTATCGGCTCCAGGCCAACGTCACTTCCTGCCCCTGAACCTGACCCTTCTTGCAGACAACACCTTGTCAGGCCGTTCCTTCGTCTCGGGGCCTTCAACATTCCCTCAGTCCATGCATTTTGCAATGTCTCCTGCCGCCCTGGCTGGTACCTGCCTCTTTCCCTGTCCCCGCATCCAAGCCACAAGCTCCTTGAGAGTGGTGATCAAGGCAAAGTCACGGATCCAACCGCTAACTCAGCTCCTGGCCCCTGGCTTTGCCTTGGCCCTTTCCCCTGAGCTCGCTGGGGTAGGGAGGGAGTTGGAGCTCCCAGAAATGGCTGAACTTGGGTTTTGAGCAAAGTGTTCACGTTTCCAATTCATAGCTCATGGAGAAGGCGATTTTAGAGCTCACAGACTTTAGGGAATAGTCTTCAATTCTATCGCAAACCAGGAACGGTGTTGCAGCCAGGTACAGACCCCGATTCTAAAACAACCCCCACCGAATCACCAGAACCACTCAGCAATGCTCACTCCGTGGGGGAGGTCACTCGTCACACAGAGCGTGTTGTCATGGTCGTTGATCCAGTTCTCAGCCAGGGTCTATGGGGAGCTCTGGCCAGCATAGCAGGACGCAGCCGTGTCTGTGGGGTCTTGTCCAGCGTGTGCACCTCTCCCTATGAGGTCAGTGACTCAGGTCCTAGTAACACAAAGCAGCTCGCCTCTCAGAGAGAAACCTCGAGACACACCCTGCAGGGTCCACATCTGTACTGACTGTGGAATAGGGTTGATGGCTAAGGAGACCTCTGCCCTCTGTTGGGTGGGGGATGGGGGTGTCACGCTAACTCAGCAGCATCTCACTTTCCACTGAGGAGCCAGGCTCCTCCACTCTCGCAGGGTCACACAGCAATAGCAAAAGGGGGATTTTATTGCCCAGAGGGTTTTTTTTCTTCCTCCCCCTGCCGCACCTCACCCAGTCCCAGAGAAATTAGAAACATCTCACGAGCTTTTCTGGGCCACACTAGAGCTGCGAGGAGCCTGACGCTCAAGACATTTGCCCAGAATAGAAGCAGAGCCCGGATGGAAGCAGCAAGGTGCATTACGGAGGGGGAAGGGCAGGGGGCTGGGGAAGAGCCGGAACTAAACATATCTGAGCTCCAGGGAAGAGCAAGGAATTTTCTCAAAGCAACAACATGAAAAAAAAAAAAAATCCCTTCCAGTCTAAGAGATGAAGGTAGAATTTGCCATGCAAGAAAGATTTCTAATAGACAGTTTTTATCTTGACAGTGGTGTCCTCTTAACTTCTATTTGCTTTCTAATTACCAAGAACTGTGTAATTAACCTGTCACCAGACTGTGCTTGCCACCGTAATGAACGGATAGGGATTCTGAGCGTCAGTAAACAGACGAGAGGAAGGAGGGTGATCCTTGCCCACCCGTCGGTCGGCTTGCTTCCCCTTCGCGGTTTGTCTCCTGCCCCCCTCTTTTAGTTCTTCTATCGAGGTGTCACCCCAAACTCCTTCTTCCTATGACAACGTCGCGGGACGCACTAAAGACACATGGACTCCCGCCGTGAGTGGGACGAAGCTCGGGATGAGCGGGTGATAAAACCGGGGTTAGATGAGCCAGGCTCTCAGCCCAGGACTCTGCTCGGTGACTGGGGCTGACGGAGATGATGCGTTTCAGCCGAGAGGGGATTGGGTGGGTAGTAGGACTTGGCACAGATTCCAGTCCCCACAGCAGCGCTGCATAGAGAAGTCTGCCTGGGCCGAGACGCGAGCCATACAGAAGGTGTATCACAGCCACATCTTTCCTTCTCCACCCAGCTACGGGCCAGGGGCCGGACAAATTACAACAGCGCCTCTGCTCAGAGTCTGCTCCAAGCCCTCAGCCCACCCAGCCTGCTCACCCACTCCTCCCTGCCGACCCCAGGGCCTCCTGACTGATCCCCGCCGCGCCCAGAGCACGGCGTGCCCCTTCTTTGGAAATCCCTGGGTGTAACAAGCTGCCTTTTCAATGGCAGGTGTCCGTTGTATTGGAGGCACCAGACCTGGATAATTATAAAACCTGTGACTTGGTGGGTATGAGAGGGTCCTGGGCACTCACTGACCATGTCAGCAAGACCCACTTTCCCAGAGCCCAATGGGCTTGAGGCTGCAGACACACTTCCTCCCTGGTCCACAGTAGCTCAGAGACCTAGCAGAACTGATTCCTGTCTGTATCTGCACCTCCCTTTCAACAGGAGGTTCGGTCTGAGGCTGAGTCAGTGCTGGGAGGAGCCTAGAGGAGAAGCAGGTGCCCCGGGCATCCAACCAGCTCATGCAGAACACCCTCTGAGTCTCTGTCTGGGATCCCGGGCGCGTCCCATCCCAGCACCACTGGTCACCTGTTAGGCTTCCTGCACGAAGACACAATGCCTCATTGCACAGGCCACATGGCTCAATACTTGGTCAGTATCAGCGCAGGGCTCCTGAGCGCCTCCCACAGCCCAGATTCGGGACTGCAGGCTGCCCCCTGCCTGCGCCTGACCTGGAGCGACGTGCTGGTGCCCTGGAAGGCATCCTATAACCCCTGGTCTGCACTGCACAGCTCTGCGCTGCAAAGCTGCCCACGTGTGACACAGGGACCTGGCTCCGCAGGAGGCAGCCGCGTCTCCCCTCCATCTCCCTTCCTCGGGTACCACACAGGCCTGCTCTGCAAATCAGAGCCCTCGATTCCTGCTGGCTCGGCTCCGTGCCAGCCTGGTGACGGCTCCTGCGTAGTCCCGTGCGTGAGGCAGGCATGCTTGGCACATAGGTGCTCAACCAGTGCCACTCTCCCGCTCTCCTCTCACTTCCTCAACCTCCTCCTCTCCCTGCGTGCGCCAACACATGACTCGTCCCAGTCCCTTGGGGAAACTCAGGGTTCCTGAGACCCCCGTGGGCACCTGGCTCCTGAGCCCTAGACCCCAGCGGGAGGCCTCCATGGCCACACGGCCGCGAGGCGTGGGGCTTGTCCTCCACACAGCCTCCCTGGCCCTGCAGCGGCGTCTCCAGCCTCTGTCTTCCCCCAGGAGGGCATCACCACTGCTCCCCACCCCCGCCCCGGGCCCAGGCAGGTCACCCCCAGCAGGTGGCTGTCAGAGCCCTCGCCTCCCACACTGGGCTCTTCCTGTCTGTCTCTCCTTCTGTTTCCTGCCATCACACTCCTTCTCCCCTAATCCAAATCCCTCTCAACTCGGTGTCACATCTGAACGCAGCCAGATACGGTAATCCCTGTAGAAATGTCCCCGGAAAACTGACAGCAGCTTAACGTGCTTCGAGCGTCCTGCAGTTCAGCCCCTCCCCGGGGCTCATCAGACACAGAGGATGCGTGTCTTATCAGACACAGAGGATGGTCCTCAAAGAGGGAGATGGCACCACCTACCCCCGCCCCGGGCAGCGAGGGAGGGCAGGGGACCCACGCTTGAGGGCAAGCAGGGGTCCCGTGGGGTCACCCCGGTTACCTGCTCACCCATTTCTGAGCCTCCCTCAAGTGTGGCGGGAATGTTTACTGCCTGCTGGCCACTCTGCCCTGCACAGGGAGGCCGGGAAGAGAGGAGAGCTGAGAGGCACGGGCAGTTTCACGGCGAGCTGTCGACATTTAAGACAGGCCTTGGGTCCAGGGATTAAGACACCCAGGGCCCAACCTGGAGCACCTGGGTTCAACACGCAGTCCTGGCCCCCAGCTCCAGCTGCCTGCTAAAGTGGACCCTGGGAGTCAGCAAGGATGGCTCATGGGATTGGAGAACGTGGGGCCCTCGTGGCTCCTGGCTTTGGCCTGCCACCCAGCCCTGGAGATGAAAGGCATTCGGGGAGTGAACCAGAGGATGGGATCCCTCTCTCTTTCTCACATTTAAAAAATATATAATTACATGTAAGTGATACTTAAATATTTAAATAGATATATGTACACACACAGCATTTGGGTAGGTTCATTTTGGGCTCACAGATGACAGGCTTGAATCAAAAGAGAGAGCAAGCAGTTCCCATGGCCCTCTGGAGTTATGAATGCAAACCACCCGCCCCCCCTCAGAGCAGAGAGCCACACAACAACGCGTCCCCTGTGAGGAGACGTGGGATTGTCCCATTGCTACCCTGCCCCCAACCCGAGCTCGAGCTTGGTTGCAGTTGGCATCCAGAGCTGGACAGGCTGGCCCTGTCGGGTGGAGGGTGGCCGGCACTGGCAGCACCTGTGCCCATGGCATGGAGGGGAAGCAGCAGCAGCTACCAGAGCCACGCTGGGCTGTGGAGGGAAGGGAAGTCACAGGGCAGTGAGGAGCCCAGGGCTGCAGAGCAGAACTCAGGCGCACAGAGCAGGCAGCAGGGCTGGGGGCAGGGCGTGCTCACCCCACACTGAGCATCAGACAGCTCCTGGGCGTGGCCGACACACGGCCCTCCTGGTCTCCTTCCGCAGCTGGGTGTCCCGTGACCCAGACCAGTCACCTGCTCACCCGGCACCCACAGGTCCCCCTTTTCCATGGCAGCCTGGATGTCCCAGTGTGCCTCCACTCGCATGGGGCTGCTCAGTTGTTGAGGCCTAGTTGTTAGCTCAGAGAACAGGCTCCATGAACCTCCTCCCCCTACGTATGGGGCCCTCGTTCCTGGAGCAGGATACAGGATGTCTAAGGAAGGACCCGACGTCTGCATTTCCCACCAGCCTGCTCCTCCATGCCCATACTTCCAGGAAGACACCAGCCCCAGGAGCCCACTGCACCTGCCCTCTGCCCCTTCTCCCTGGAGCTTCTCCAGCCTTCACGCAGGGGAAAGCCCCACCCCTGCCCCCCTCCCAGCCCGGCCTGTCTGTGCGGCCACCTCTGCTTCTCACCCAGGCTCATTAGACCCAGCCCGAGTCTGCATTCCCTCGCTGTTTCCCCGGCAGGAGGATTGGAGGTGACCTTTAAATGTCGCTTGCAAATGCCAGCTGATGCTAACCGGCTCCAAACTGCTGCACAGGCGTGGCCTCTCCCAAACGCCAGCCGGATGGCAGGGCTGAGGCTCCCGGCGCGGGGAGAGTAGCTTCTGGGGACAGATCTGCCCTTGCAGCAGGAATGGGCCCTGTGCTCTGCCAGATAACCCCAGTTCCTGCTGCTCCGGGCGGGCGCTGCCTGCTAGGAAAGACTGGAGCCCAGGAGTCCTCCACCCTTCCCGACTTCTGGGAGGAAACCCAGGTCTGAAGGAAGAGGCAGATGCGTCCTTCTGAGAAATGATTCTCTCGCAGGCTCTCTCATGGGCGCTGATGTAACCCTGACTTACCCATCGTCTTGCCTTTTTTTTTTTTTAATGAATGAATGAATGAATGAATGCTGGTGTACTTTGGGTAATTTCTCACAATGGAGCTGGAGTAAACTCCATCCCTGAATCAGACAGGAAGAAATCCAAGCTGGGGCTGACCCTGGGGCCCAGCAGGTCAAGCCACTGCTTGTGACGCGAGCATCCTGTATCAGAGTGCAGGTTCAAGTCCCTGCTGCTCTACTTCTGATCCAGCTCCCTGGGAAGACAACAGCTGATAGCCCAAGTGCTTGGGCCCCTGCACCCATGTGGGAGACCCAGATTGCATTCATGGCTCCTGACTTCAGCCTGGCAAAGCCCCGGCTGTTGCACCCATTCGTGGACTGACCCAGAATTGAAAACGCTCCCCCTCTCTCTGTCACTCTGCCTCTCAAATAAATAAAATAAATATCAGAACAGAAACACATGCTCACAGGCCAATAGAAAGTGGAGCCAGGAGTCCTGCCTGGGACTGCCCACCTCCAGCAGGGTCCATAGTGTTGCTCCCACAGACTGCAATTCGATTCTTCCCTCTCCCACCTGCAGGGACCCTCTGGAGTGTCCCCAGCCTCAACCCTCCCCCCACCCCCGCGCCCGCCCCTGTGGTCTTTTGGAGTCTCTGGTTTAACTCAGCCAGGGTTTGTTTATCAATTAGGTGGAACCAGCATGGCTGCAGCAGTGCAGGACACCATGCTCGGGCCCTGGCCCTCACTCTTCTAGAAAGGGGAGGCCCCAGAATCGAGACTAGGACTCACAAGCGGGGAAACACGGAGGGCCGGGGCAGGGGCAGAGCCCTGAGAAATGGACCCCAGGCCAGATCCGGTGTTGCCCCAGCAGCAGGGAAGTCAGTGTCCTTTTCTAAGCGTCTCAGTAACTCCAGGAGTGACACACGCCCACTGCCCCCTCCCGGGATCTGCGTGAGCCGGACCCGGGATCAGGAGCCCGCAGCACAGGGGTTGCCCCAGCTGCGCAGCACAGAGCCCTGAACACCACAAGCGGAAGAAGCACCTGGCAGACGGCACAGCCCCGTGGCCCAGGGGCTCCGGATCCTGGCAGCACCAGGTAGAGAAGTCGCCCGGCACCTGCTCCCCTTCTCTTCCCTCTCAGGGGGCTGGAGCAGTCCCGGGAAACGGTTCCTGGCAGAAAGAGCGACTTCTAAGGAAAAAGGAAACTTCGGTTGTCTAAATCACGTCTTAGCTCGCTGGCCTACTTCTATTTTTATTTTCCCATTTGAGAGACAGGAAGAGAAACAGCGAGACTGAGCGGTGGGAGAGACTGCCCGTCCTCTGCTCCCTCCACGCTATCCAGGTCTCCTAGGTGGGTGGCAGGAGCTCAGCTACTTGGAGCCGTCACAGCCGCCCCTGCATCAGCTGGAAGTGGGAACGGGAGCTAGGACTGGAAACCCAGCCCAGGCTCTGTGACGGGCGGGGGGGGGGGCACAGGTGTTGACTGGCATCTTAGTCGCCAAGCAAAACGCCCACCCTGCATTTGCCTTGTTTTGTGTGTCACGAAGCTACCAGGGTCCACGAAGCCTTAGGTCTCTAACTCACATGCGGTCACCGTCATCATCATGTCATTATCTTTGTCTTCATCATCAGTAATCAGGAGTCAAGCTGGACTCGGTGCTGTAGCATGCTGACCCGCCTTTCCCAAGTGGATTTCTTCCCATCTGTTTATCGGCGCCCTCATCTGTGCAGTCTGGCGCTCACTCATTAACCAACGCCCACTGACCACTCTGGGGCCCCTTGGGAGAATGAGAAGAAAGGTGCTATTCCTGCCATCAGAAAACACACAGGCCATTCTCTCAAAGCACAGAGGAACCCAAGGCCGGAGCCCTCAGTCCCGGGTCAACACGCACACAGGCTACTGCTGGCCTCGGAATGCTGGGATCTGTGGCTGCATCCCGTCTCGCCTTGGCTCTTGGCCTCTACCTACCCACTTGTAAATGTCAAGATACGTTACAAAAGCTACTCCCCAAATCCACACCTAGAGCCTCACTGCTACCGAGGGCTTCCTGAACTGGGGAGGAAGTCATCCAAGAGCCAAGAAACTAATTCCTGGGGCCCAAGTCTGAGGAGTCTAAGTGCAGTGTTGGCACACGCAGGTGGAAGGGCCCTCCTCTGCCTGCCTGTGGAGGGCTCCAGGGTGAGATCTCGGAGTGCTGTCCTCCGTGGAATCTCTCTCTCTCTCTCTCTCTCTCTCAAGGTGCCGGCATCCCCCCAGGCCAGCCAGCAGAGAAACGAGCCAAACAGGCGGGCCAGGAAGGTCGCGTGTCTCCCGGGAAGTCTTCGAGCCCTCCAATTGCATCAGGTGTACTGGGGAGCTGGGGACTGGGCTGGCGTTACCTGCAGTAGCTGGCATGGTCTCTGCCACGCGCACCTGTGCAGGTTTTGGTGTTGGTTCGGTGGGGGAAGACTCTGCCGACTTTCCTCTTCCCCTGGACCCAGAAAAGCTGGAAGGGGTGCATTGTGACTTCGCTGGGATACAACTCTGGTCCCCAAAGAACCTGCGCGCAGGAAGCAATGGGGAGAGAAAGGAAAACAAACTGATCCTGGTGGGGAGAACTGTTCACCTAAGCCAACAAGCTTTGCCAAGAAAGCAGGAGCAAGCTAGGGCGGGATGGGAGAGGCCAAGGTCCAGCTGGTGAACAGTGAGTGGGCGGGGGTCTAAAGTATACATTAGCCAGGACCTGAGAGGAGACTGGGTTCCACGGAGAGAAGAGTGTTGTTCTCCTGCAAGGACGTGGCATTCCTACTCCCAGAGCTGCGTCACATGGAAGTCTGGGTGCGGAATGTCCTGAAGAGACAGTCCAGGGGCACTGACACCAGGCACCTGCAACCCGGCTTGCGGGCTGAGGGCTCAGTGGGAAATGATCAGCGGAAAAGAGAAAAAGAACTAGAACATCTTCATGTTGAGGGGCACGGGCTCCCTACCCAACACCTACTCCTCTTCTGTAGATAACTTCATTCTGATTTTGCCTGGGGAACCCTACTGGTATTCTTAGCACCCCAGGTATTAGGTGGGGCTGACTCCACCCCTAGTCCCAAACGTGAAACACACAGCCACGGCCCAACCAGTCAGCTCATCACGGAGCGGTGGGCTCAGGACTCGTTAAGCCAATCAGGGTTTCTGTAGCACCACGCCAAGAAGCGCTTCCTCGTTCTCAAACATTTGAAGACTAAAGGAGTTGGGCTGGAAGGCACACAGTCGTCTTCCAACCACAAAGGAAGAGCTCGCCTAGGAGTCAGTACAACAGCGGCCAGGATATGGAGACCGTGAGCTCGTGCCACGCCCCATGCCTGGTGCTGGACTTAGAACTGAGCTTCTCAGGAGTGATGCAGCCGGTTTGAGTTGGGTTCCCCCCAACTTTAAACCCAAGCTCATAAAACTATTGCAATAGATGGCTTACAGAAACTTGCAGAGAATACGGGACTGTTTACCTATGATGTACCTACTGGAGTTGATAGCTCCCGTATTTTAGCTGAGTGACTGCTGCTCTCTCGCCATGGCTGGGACAGATGGGACCAGGCAGGGGCATGGAGACTGGTGACACGGGGCCAGGCAGGGGCATGGAGACTGGTGACACGGGACCGGGCAGGGGCAGGGAGACTGGTGACACGGGACCAGGCAGGGGCAGGGAGACTGGTGACACGGGACCAGGCAGGGGCAGGGAGACTGGTGACACGGGGCCAGGCAGGGGCAGGGAGACTGGTGACACGGGACCAGGCAGGGGCAGGGAGACTGGTGACACGGGGCCAGGCAGGGGCAGGGAGACTGGTGACACGGGACCAGGCAGGGGCAGGGAGACTGGTGACACGGGGCCAGGCAGGGGCAGGGAGACTGGTGACACGGGACCAGGCAGGGGCAGGGAGACTGGTGACACGGGACCAGGCAGGGGCAGGGAGACTGGTGACACGGGGCCAGGCAGGGGCATGGAGACTGGTGACACGGGGCCAGGCAGGGGCATGGAGACTGGTGACACGGGACCAGGCAGGGGCAGGGAGACTGGTGACACGGGGCCGGGCATGGGCATGGAGACTGGTGACATGGGGCCAGGCAGGGGCATGGAGAATGGTGACACAGGTGCTGCGCCAGCTTGAAACTCCAAGGCTCGGGTAGCAGTGGGAAATTCTTCCCCAATAGCTAAAGGCCCTACAGCCCAACTGGCCTCCCTCCCTCTGATAAAGCGGGATCTCACCAGAATACTCACAGCAAGAAGGAAATGAGGTGTTGTATGAAGAACCAGGACCTACACACTCTAGTCCCCTTTGCGTCGCATGTCACTCCCCTCCGATGTGTGACAAGGCGCCCATCGCCAGGGCTCTGTGGGCCTGTCTCTTCCTCCCTGCGTGGGCAGCGGTGCCTCCCCTCCCCCACGCCCGTGTCACATGTAAAGATGCTATCTATGGTGACAACACCACAGGAGGCCTGCTGGGCCACTCACCTGGGAGGCATGATCGGGAATTCTAGAACTCTCTTCTTAAAGACACACACACACATCAGCATTCGCTTCCCTTTTAGGTATAAACAAATACGCAAACAAGCGGCTTGGCGGCATAATCACAGCTAAATTGGAAACTCTGGCATTATCCAGAGTACGCTATCTATCCAAGGAAGCTGAGAGGCCCCGGACGCACAACATCATATTTCCCCAGGCATGGGATTAATTAAAACTATCAAGTGTTCCCAGCTTTTTGAAATTAACTTTGAAAGTGTTTGGCGTGTAGGGATAAAGAGAAAGGCGCTGTGGTGGGGGGAGCATCCCAAGGGCGGGGCTGCTGGAAGCAAGCCACGTGCCAGAGTGCTGTGTTCTGTGTTTGGTTCCTCTTTAAGAGACAGGCGAGGACAAAGTGAAATTGTAAAATTCCTGTGGGCAGAGACAGCAAAGTCCAAAGAGCTTTGCATTCATGCCCTCCCCCTCGGGAGCACGTTAGGATCTGCGCTCTCTGATGCACGTGAGTGAGCCCGAGGCTCACAGCAAGGTGGCCAAGGCCAGGTGACGCGGAAGAACGGGAGGGCGTCGGTGGGATGAGGCTGTGCCCCGCATCTACAGAGTGGAGGTTTGGTCCCCACCGTAATAGCTTCGGGAGGCGGTGGTGGAACTGAAGAGGCGCCAGCAGCCCTTGAAGGAATCAAGCCCATCTCTCAGGCTTGGGTTAGAGCTCGCGGGACTGCATTGGCCGCTGCACGACTGTGTTTGCTGTAACACGGGTGGGGCTTCTCCACTCGCCCTCCCGTCCCTCGTGACCTCGCTCACAGGAGCTCCTGTCACGTGATGCCATCGCCAGGAGGCCCCTCCAGAAGCTGACCCCAGCAATCTGCTCTTGGGCTTCCAGAGCCGTGAAATGAACCTCTTCTTTAAAAACCTGCCCAGCCAAGGCAGCAACAGCAAACAGACTGAGGCACTCGGAGGAGCCTTGTAAGGAAGGGAGCGATGGCTCACCTACCCATTCTCCCTCTGCTTCTGGGCTTCGGCCCCTTTTAGTCTCCTTGTTATTCTCCCCCTTGTCGCTCAACCCACCTCTGGCACTTTCCTGGGCTGCACAGGAGCCCCAGTGAAGATTCCCCAGGAGCCCGGTTCTTGCTCCACCATCTGGTAGTTGTGGGACCTCGGTCAAGTCACCTGCTTCTTCCTGGACTCTATTTCCTTACCTGTAAAATGGAACCGGGGAGGGAGGAGTTTCTCAGTCAAGCAAAGCAAGTGAGCCATTGGGAAGGACTCCCCACAGATAACGCATCCTCACAGAGTGCCCAAGGCCCAGGGAGTTCTTCATTCACATTTCAAACGCCCTTGACCTGTCAGGCCAGTGAAGAGGGCGGGGCTCAGCCCTGGCGCTTTTCCCGTCAGCACTCTGCTTTTTCGTGGCAGGGCAATGCACGCTCCCTGCCTTTTGCTGTCATCGCAAAGCAAGCCCTCAAAGCATATCCAGTTTCCCTTGGTCCTCACTTTGGCAAGCTGGGGGTCTTCTCCCGAGTTCGCCTCCTCAGTTGCTTGTCTCCCAGCTCCCACAGATCTCAGAGGGACGTACAGTGGGTCCCTAGGAAGACACCTTGCTGGCTCTGCGCCCCCACCTGCTGGAGTGGCGAGGGCTGTGTCTTTGCTGTGGACTGAATTCCCTCTCCTTCCAGCCATATCAGATGCCTCCTCAACTTGCGGTCTCTTCTTCCTAGCAGAATTCACACTGAGGTCATCACTCCTCCTCTCCCTTGGCCAGCCATGTGCCTGGGAATAGCCCTGTCGCCCTCCCCAGGCCCAGGGGTTTGTCTTGATCGGCACAGACTAATCATGATGGTCCTACTGCCCTTGCTAATGGCTGAGCCATTGGATATATCAATTCTGGCCACTAAGAGTTCAGGTGCTCCTTGAGGGTTTCTGGGGAAAGTTGTCCCACTTTGTAAAAGAGATACAAGGAAAGAAGCCATTTCCTGCCTGTGGATGACCTTGGGTGCGAACCCTTAGGCAGCTAGGCAAGAACCAATTCTTGGTCTGAGGATGGCAGAACAGAGCGGGGAAAGCAGCGCCGAGCCCTGCCACCACTGGGTGCTGAGTCAGCCAGCCCGGGAGCCACCCTGCCTCTGGACTAGACTACGCCAGGTCACTTTGCGATGGCTCAAGTCCGTTGGAGTAAGGACACTTTCTCACTTGCAGCATTGTGCATCCAAGAGAGAACTCCTCCCTCCCCAGCCCACCCCCGGTGCCCAGCCATGAGCTCATCATCCGGCCGCGGGTGGAGCCTGCGGCCACCATGTGAGGCAGGATGCGCCTGATGCTGCCCAGGGAGGACAGGACACAACCTCAAGGCTCAGGGCCGGATCCCATCAGCACCCTGCAGAATTCCAAGGCCAGTTTCATCTCAAATTCTTTTCAATGTCCTTCCCCAGTCAGGCTGCCCCGTGTCTTGCTTGAACAATTGCCATTACGTGTCCAGGCAACCTTCCTCCTACTGATCTTGCCCCAACCCACCTTTGTTTACGTTGCCATGACAGCAAATGAAGGACCTTGTCCTGCCCTAGTCCATTTCCGGTTTAATGGCTCCCCACTGCCAATAGGATAAAGCTCAAGATTCTTTTTGGGATGAAGAGGGTGGTCATGACTGGTTCCAGTCTCAATTCCCATCCTTTCTGCTCTAATGATGTAACACTCCACACGCCCTTCCCTGTCCCACATCTCCATTCTCTCCCATGCAACTTCCTGTGCCTAAAATTGGGATGAGTAACTTTAAGAAGACTTATTTTACTTATCTGAAAGGCATAGGTTCAGAGAGAGAGCGGGGGAGACAGGGAGAGAGATGTCTTCCATCCGCTGGTTCACTGCCCAATTGGCCGCAATGGCAGGGCCTGGGCAGATCCAAAGCCAGGAGCCAGGAGCTTCTTCCGGGTCTCCCACATGGGTACAGGAGCCCAAGCACTTGAGCCATCTTCTGCTGCTTTCCCAGGCCATAGCAGAGAGCTGGATTGGAAGTGGAGCAGCCAGGACTCAAAGTGGCGCCCATGCGGGATGCCAGCACTGCAGGTGGCGGCTTTACCTGCTATGCCACAGTGCCAGCCCCTCTACCAGACTCTTAAGCTCCTTGTATAGGGCAGAATGGTTGCCTGCTCACTCCTGCAGATCCAGATGCTTACAGGGTACCCAGAGTATAACAGCTTCTCAATAAATATGGATGAAAATGAAATTTTGCATTTCACATTTGCCAAACACACACAAATATGAAGCCTGAAGAAAACAACAAAACAAGCCCCTCGAGGGGGAATGAGCAGGTAAAGGAAAATTAGATCCTTGCTGCTTCCACCTGTGTGTACAGAGACGTTTGGCTGAGGGGAGACCGTGATCTGAGAATGTGGCGTAAGACACACTGCAACAGCAAGGCATCATTTCAAAGCCTTTCTCAGGACCAGCACTTGAAAGGGCTGGCACTGTGGCTCCCTATGGGCACTGGTTCGAGTCCCGGCTGCTCCATTTCTGATCCAGCTCCCTGCTCACGCAACAGGGAGGCAGCAGAAGATGGCCCGAGTGCTTGGACCCCTGCCACCCATGTGGCAGACCTGGATGGAGTTTTTGGTTCCTGGCTCAGACCAAGGTATTGTAGGTTTTAGGGGAATGATATACCTTCATGTATGTACCTGTATATAAAGGGTCTCCAGGAAGTTCATGACAAATCCATGTCATGAAAAACTATGCCTGTAGGGCTGACATTGTGGCTCAGAGTGTTAAAGCCCTTGCCTGCAGTGCTGGCATCCCATACAGGTGTCGGTTCTAGTCCCGGCTGCTCCTCTTCCAATCCAGCTCTCTGCTATGGCCTGGGAAAGCAGTAGAAGATGGCCCAAGTCCTTGGGCCCCTGCACCCACGTGGGAGACCCGAAAGAAGCTCCTGGCTCCTGGTTTTGGATGGGCACAACTCTAGCCGTTTTGGCCAATTGGGGAGTGAACCAGCGGATGGAAGACCTGTCTCTGTCTCTACCTCTCTCTGTAACTCTTTCAAATAAGTCAAAATAAACCTTTAAAGAAAACTATGCATGGATTTCAAATCTTTTGCACCAAAATAAAATTTTAATTTCATTTTCTGTGACCTTTTTGAAGCTGTGTGTGTGTGTGTATATATATATATATATATGTAGAGTATATGTTTATTCTGAAACAAATTAGTAGTTAACTTGCTAACCATGACCAAGTTTTTTTTTCTTAAAGATTTATTTATTTATTTGAAAGGCAGAATTACAGAGTGAGAGAGAGAGAGAAAATGATCTTCCATCTGCTGGTTCACTCCCCAAGTGGTCACAACAGCCAGGGCTGAGCCTGGCAGGAGCCAGGAGCCTACAACTCCATCCGGGTCTCCCACATGGGTGGCAGGGACCCGAGCACTTGGGCCACCCTCGGCTGCCTTCCCAGGCGCATTAGCAGGGAGCTGGATCGGAGCAGAGCGGCCAGGCTCGCACTGGTACTCCAAGGTGGGATGCTAGTGGTAGGTACAGTGCCAGCTTAGCCCACTGCACTATAACTCCGGCCCCCATTTTTACCTTCTGGTAAGCCTTTATGAGATACCCTGCTGTTCAGTCACCTCTCCCTCCACCTGCAGCCCTGCTAGGGACAGGAAATGCTTGTAATCCAAGTCAACCTGACGCCCTGGGATCCGGCTGCCAACCATGAGCCCCTGCGCCAAGTGCAAGGGGAGCACCCCGGCTCCTCCAGCGCACAGGCCCCTGGGTCGTCCCCAGCCTCCCAGGGCCCAGGGCTCCACGCCTGCCTCCCCCCGCTCCTCAGCACTGCTCTCATCACAGCCAGCGGCGCGCTCAGCTCCCCAGATTGCTGGCTTGGTCCTGGCGCTCCTGGCTCTTGTAAGCTCCTGCCATTGTCTGTCCCCTGCCAACGTCTGGAACCGGGCCACGTGCAGACATCTCCGAAATCTGATGAGTGGACTCCCCTCTCTGCGTGCTCAGCGCCCCGCTGCATGGAGCCAGAGCTCGGCGTGCTGACGGCAGCAGCCGCCGAGTACCCCCAGCCCGCCCTGCCGGGCCACCCCCGAAGCCCACCTAACCCTCGCTCTTCCCCGCGCTGACCCTGCCCAGCACGGAAGAACTCTTCCCAGGCTCCCCCGGCACTGGCAGTCCTGCTCCTCTGCTGATTTCCATCAGCACCCTCCCACGGAGGCTGGGGAGACAACTTAGCAAACACAGTTTAGCAACTTAGCATTTTGCTGGGCTGACTTCTCTTTCACACGCCGATGTTTCTTCCAAAGCAGTCCAGCCCAAACACGCCGTGCTCGTGGGGGAAGTCGGTTTCTGCTCCACCGTTCCTGTGGCTGCCGTCTATCCCGCTACGTGATCATCGAGGCTTAAGTTGCGGGATGCATTCCTGCTGAAGGCTTTCTTGCCATTTTCAAAATCCACTGGTGTCTCTGTGGCTTGGGACTACAAAGCTGAAGGAACACCAGCAGGGCTAACTTGGCTCCAAAGAGCCAGCACTAAAACCCGGAGCCCGAAAAGCCTCCGAGCCCAGGGAGTCTGATCCGCTCAGAGATGATTGCACACCACAGGCAAATGACGGCCAAGCCCCCCGGCCTGCCATGACGTCATCTCTGCCCCCAAATCAAGCAAGACCCTGAGCCTGCATGCCCGCGCTGGGTGGGAAGCAGATGGCTGGACCAGAGAGAGCTGACGGAAGGAATCGCACAACAAGTATCAATCAACACAAACACCCCGGCATCAGCAAGTAGGCAGCTTCCAGCTCTGGGCAGGGCTCTCTGGTGGCATTTTTAGCGGCGCTCTTAATTAGGGATGAGCTGCGAGGCTCATCAGCTCCCCCACGGCCGTGGGAAATGTGGCAGGTGGCGTCTGAGAGCCCCCCTCCTCCGAGGGGTGCAGCCGTGCCAGCCAGGGAGCTGTGAGCAGAAGCAGACAGACAGGAGCTTAAAGGGACCCAGAACGAGGACCTGGGGACCTCCGGGGCCAGCACTTCTGCGGGTCCCGTGCTTCAAACACATCCTGTCTCTTCCCAGATGCGAGTTCTTCCAAGACAAGGGCCTTCTGCCCCAGCGTGGGCGCCTCCCACAGCCCTCTGCGCGGTGCTAGAAACTCTGGCCAACGCCATGCGGCCAGCCTCGCCCATCGAGGTCTGTTTAGATTCCAGGATGTTCCTGAGGAGGCTTCCTCAGGAGGTCCACGGGCAATGCGTAATAGGCTAAACGCGACGTGTGAATTTCACATTTGGCAGCAACAGGAACTTCACCGCTGCAGTTTCATTTTCATTTTCCACAAACTTCTGGGTGCGCCTCAGTAGTGGGGGGGTCCGGGGGGATCTGCGGGGGTGTCTGTTTCCATTCTCCTGCTCTTGTCTTCATCCACCTTTAATGCTTGATGCCTTCTCCTTGTCTTTCTCCGTCATTTACAAATTCCTTAGGGAAGGCGACCACGACTCTTTATTTCTGGTTTTATTTCACTTGTTTTGTTTTGTTTTGGGGGTTTTTGCTTGAGATTCATTTTATTTATATGAAAGGTAGCATTACAGAGAGAGAGAGAGAGAGAGAGAGAGAGAGAGGAAGAGAGAGTTCTTCCATCTGCAGGTCCACTCTCCAAACGGCAACAGTGGTCAGGACAGGGCCAGGCCAAAGACAGGAGCCAGGAATTCCATCTGGGTCTCCCCAGGAGTGGCAGGGATGCAGACACTTGGGCC